CCAGGGATATCAAAATACTTGCAGACGTACTGCAGGACATGTGACACCTGTCAAAGGATAGGGAAAAGGGGGGACCACCCTAAGGCCAAGTTACTTTCCCTACCTATAATAGAGGAGCCATTCTACAGAATGGCAGTAGACCTGATAGGGCCCCTCAACAAACCCAGCTCCTCCGTAAAGCGCTACATCACGGTGGTGGACTATGCCACCAGGTACCCTGAGGTTCTCCAACATTGAGGAGGAGATGGTAGCAGAGGCTCAAGTCAGGATCTTTTCCCGGGAAATACTTTCAGATCAAGGAACGCAGTTCACGGCAGAGCTGCTGGGTGAAACCGTTATTTAGCTCCCCCCTACCGTCCCCAGACCAACGGCCTCAGTGAACGATTCAACGGCACACTTAAGCAGATGCTCACAGCGTTCACAGAGTCATACGGTCAATGGGAGAAATTTCTACCCCACCTCCTGTATGCCTACCGGGAACTGCCCCAGGCGTCCACCGGATTCTCCCCCTTCTAACTCCTATACAGGAGAAAAGTCTGGGGACCCCTGGACCTCATACAGGAGCACTGGGAGGGGAAGGGAGAGGAAGGGATCCCAGTCTTGCCATACTTGCTAGAGTTCTGGGACCGCCTGCAGGCACTGACCGAATCAGTTCGGGAGAACCTGCAGGCGGCCCAGAAACGACAGAAACAATGGTATGACCGGGGGGCACGAGATAGGAACCTGAAAGTGGAGCAAAAAGTATTAGCCCTCAGACCTTCCAAAAAGGACAAGCTACAGGCAGCTTGGCAGGGGCTATTTAAAGTGGTGGAATGGATTAGCAACACCACCTATATTGTAGCCAAATGTTCAGATGAAAGGATCAGACGAGCCTTTTATGTGAACATGTTGAAACCATATTTCGAGCACTCCGAGGACGTGGCCGCTATCTGTGCCCCACACAGCAGGCAGACGCAAAACAACTCCTTCAGGAATACGGTGGGCTGTTCTCGGTCCTACCCGGGTACACCTCCGCCGCCCTGCACCGGGTAGAGACACAGGGGGAAACCCCATTACGGCAACAACCGTACCGTATCCCGGCAGCAGAACGGACCAGCATGTGGAAAGAAATCCAAGAAATGTTGGAATTAGAAGTCATTGAGGCTTCCCAAAGTCCCTAGGCATCCCCGGTGGTTTTAGTACCAAAGCGAGACGGTACGACTTGCTTCTGTATTGATTACCGGAAACTGAATGACCGGACTATCACGGACGCATACCCCATGCAACGGATCAACTAATTGCTCGATCGCATGGCCAGCGGGCACTAACTACCCTGAACCTGTGCAAAGGATATTGGCAAATCCCGCTAGACTCGGCCGCCATCCCTAAGTCGGCATTCTTCACCCCATTCGGGCTATACCAATTTCGGGTTATGCCTTTTGGGATGAAGAATGCCCCGGCTACGTTTCAATGGATGGCGGACTGACTTGTGGAGGGAATGCAGGACTTCGCATGTGCCTACCTAGATGATATTGCTATCTATAGCGGCACATGGGAGGCTCACCTGAGGCACTTGGCTACGGTATTTGGGAGATTACAAGAAGCCGGCCTCACCCTGAAAGGGCATAAAGTAGGGTCTGGGAAACAGCGCCCTGAACCAGCCAAAGTAGAGGCCATAGCCAATTGGCCCTAGCCCCGAACCAAGACGCAGGTATTGGCCTTCCTAGGCACAGCAGGGTACTATAGAAAGTTAGTCCCTGAGTATAGCACCCTAGCAAAACCCCTCACCGACCTGCCCAAAAAGTCCCTACCCAAGCAGGTAACCTGGTCCCCGGAGTGTGCAACGGCGTTCCAGAGACTTAAAACAGCTTTGAGCGAAGCTCCAGTATTGGCGGCCCCAGACCCTAATAAAACATTTCTCGTTCATACAGATGCCTCCGTGTTTGGGCTGGGAGCCGTGCTGAGCCAAGTGGGGGAAGATGGCATGGAGCACCCGGTGGCATATATCAGCCGTAAGTTTTTACCACGGGAGGTCAGCTATGCCACCGTGGAAAAAGAGTGCCTAGCTCTAGTATGGGCCCTAAAGAAACTCCAACCGTACCTTTATGGCCGTGCCTTTACCCTACTCACTGACCACAACCCCCTCATTTGGCTCAACCGAGTCACTGGAAACAATCCCCAGTTGCTGCGCTGGAGCCTTGCGTTGCAGCCCTACAATTTTACACTGCAATACCGCCCGGGCAAGCAGAACGGCAATGCAGATGGGCTTTCCCGCCAAACTGACTTGGATGTATAATTATGTTACCCGGACATCCCCTAGTCAACCCGGCAGAGTCTAGGCGGGTATGCCGACCCATGGAACTAAGGGGGAGTATTGTGAAGAAAATATACTTAGTTCGGTATTTTCTATATCTATCTATCTATCTATCTATTTTTATCTATCTATATCTATCTAGCTATTTCTGTCTATCTATTTCTTTTTATCTATATCTATTTTTATCTATATCTATTTCTATCTATCTATCTAGCTTTATCTATCTATATCTATCTATTTCTTTCAATCTATATCTATTTTATCTATCTATTTCTATCTATCTATATCTATTTTTATCTATATCTATTTCTATCTATCTATCTAGCTTTATCTATTGTGATAAGGTGAATGGGGTGGTCTGTGAGGGAGTCTATATCTCAACAGAATTGTTCAGAGAGGCATATGATTTTTAACCCCAGGGGGAGTGTATGTTTCTGTGTATGTAACCAGAATGAATATTTAGTTATGGGCCCCTGGGGTGGAGCATTTGGAGAGCAGGGTGGGCCAGTGCTCCACTCCGCAGTTTAGCGGTTTTCTTGGAAGACATAGATCCAGCCCAGGGTTTTGGACTGTCTCCAACCTACTGCTCAGCTGCTGGTAATCGGCTGCAGCAATGAGAATGTTTTGTTTCTCTCTGAAAGGCTGTAAGCAGCAGGCTGGCTAAATACTGGAGTGCTGAGAGTGGACTAAGACTCTAGGTTGGTGAAACCAATATTGTTTTGTTTAGTTTAACCCTGAGAGATAGGGAACCTAATGTCAGTTAGTGCTCAGACGAGCTAGGTTTTTGTTTATAAGGTTTTGTGTTACATTTATGTTTTCATTTACTGCTGTATCCTGTGTGGATTTACAAATAAAGTGCCTGGAGTATATGCAATTACAAGGACTGTGCCTATTGTTTACCCTAGAGGACCGTGTTACCTGCATACAAGGATCACACTATCTATATCTATCTATTTATATCTGTCTATCTATTTCTATCTTTCTATCTTTATCTATCTATCCATTTCTATCTATATCTAATTCTATCTATCTTTTTTTTTCTTCAAAATATCTATCTATCTATCTATCTATCTATCTATCTATCTATATTTCTATCTATCTATCTATCTATATTTATATCTATCTATTCGTTCTATCTATATGTATCTATTTCTTTCTCTCTATCTTTATCTATTTCTTTCTCTCTATCTATTTGTATCTATCTATATATTTATTTCTATCTATCTTTATCGATATATCTATCTATATCTATTTGTATCCATCTATCTTTATCTATTTCTTTCTATATATCTACTTCTATCTATCTATTTCTAACTATTTTTATCTATCTATATCTATTTCTATCTATATGTATCTATTTCTATCTACCTATTTATCTATTATTTTCTATCTATCTATCTATGTATCTCTTTCTCTCTATTTATCTATTTCTTTCTATCTTTATCTATCTATATCTACAGGGAGTGCAGAATTATTAGGCAAGTTGTATTTTTGAGGATTCATTTTATTATTGAACAACCATGTTCTCAATGAACCCAAAAAACTCATTAATATCAAAGCTGAATATTTTTGGAAGTAGTTTTTAGTTTGTTGTTTTTTGTTTTTTAAATTCTTTATTTTATTTGTGCGTGAGTTAACAACATGCGAGCAGGGCCACAACAGCATCTGCCGGCGTTTTCATAGCATCACAAAGTGTGGCAATGTAAACAGCACATTTTTTATATATATATATATATATATATATATATATATATATATATAACATGAAGGTCACAGACTATGAAACTTTTAGCAATTAGTAGTAGACATGCTAGGTCAAATATGCACTTGAGTCATGTAGCAAGTATTAGTTAAGCATGAGACGGTAGCTTTAAACATGAATTACACTCTGTTTGCATAATAAAGTAAATAAAACAGTTAATGCCTAACAACGCTATTCTAGCTATACCCCTATTGTTATGAAGTCACAGGCAAAACATGTAGTTTCTAACATGCTAGTCAGGGATGTCTAGGTTGTGAGAGCTTGTAGCAGGCTTATGAGTAGTGTTGAACAAAGTATTAGACAAGTAACATACGAATATAATAATTAATATTGCATAACATGCCTATTCTATCCTGTCGCTGAGCGTTAAGATAAGGCGTAAGTTGAACTTTACACTTATTTTATCCTGCTTGACTATACAGTTAGGACGACAGAGTGAGAAATAAAAGTAAGACAGTTAATGCTTAACAACACTGTTCTAGCTATACGCTTATTGTTATGAAGTCACAGGCTGGACATGTAGTTTCTAACATGCTAGTCAGGGATGTCTAGGTTGTTAGAGCTTGTAGCAGGCTCATGAGTAATGCTTAACAAAGGTATTAGAAAAATAACATAAGAATATAATAATTAGTATTGCATAACATGCCTATTCTATGCTGTCACTGAGCGTTAAGATAAGGCTTATGCTAAACACCCTATTCTAAGGACTCTGCTGCATGTCGTTCAATAGTTGTACGAAAAGTTGTAAGTCCACGTTTATCATATATTAGTTTAACAGTTATTAACCAAGGTTAAGTAGCAGGAGCCTGGCTTGGGATCTGGGCCGTGCCGTCCAGCTACCAAGTGTCTTGTCAGACTTGTGTGCTTGCTGCAAGGTGAGTGTCTGGGCTATAGGGTATTGCTAGCGGCAGCTCTGTCCCATGAGGTGCGTAAGGCAGCGGCTAGAGTCCAGCACTGTGCACCTGTAGGGATTCTCCTTTCAGCCGATACCCACTGGGTGTTCCATTGTGTTCATCCTGGGGTTGTCTTGCCCGGGGATGGCCCGCTCTCTTGGTGGGGTGATGGTGGTGATTCTGTCGCGGATAGACAGTTGCCCCCTCGGTGCTCTCGGTCCGGTTGATCGCGGGTAAATTCTTTGCCGGTTAATCACCAAACCTGCCGGAGTGTAATTTTTATCGCTGTCAACTCTGCTAGTCCCTCTGTGTCGGGTTGCGCTTTGAGGGACGGCTGTTGCTGGGACCACTTGTTGGTAAGCAGGTCGGGTACTCTTGTGGGTTCCGTGCTCCAGTTTGAGGTTGCGTGTATTGTCCCGTCGGGAGGCTACGCTCGAGCCACGCGGGGGGTTCCACCACAGGCAACGGCGGGTCACCGGGCGGATCCACGCCGCCGCCGCTTTCACCGCCCTTCTGAAGGGTCGTCTCCTGGGCTTAAATTTCTCCCACAGGTATGAACAGAGCCTGTTGAAGAACTCTGTGATGTGCTTGGGTGGCTTGGGAGACGAGTGCTTCTTCCTGCGATGTATCTGCGCCGCCATCTTAGCTGGGCCCTGTCGTCCCTGTTTGGGCGCGAGTTCGCTTGGGCTTAAAGGGGAGCTGTAGCCGGTGCGTTGGTGCCGTGATAACCCCCAACGGCAGGGGGGGGGGAAACAGGAGCCCCGTCTGCCTCCTTGTGCTCCAGCAGTGTAGGTAGTGGGGAGACCGTTTTAGTTTGCTTTTAGTTATAGCTATGTTAGGGGGATATCTGTGTGTGCAGGTGACTATTACTGTGCATAATTATTAGGCAACTTAACAAAAAACAAATATATACCCATTTCAATTATTTATTATTACCAGTGAAACCAATATAACATCTCAACATTCACAAATATACATTTCTGACATTCAAAACAAAAACAAATCAGTGACCAATATAGCCACCTTTCTTTGCAAGGACACTCAAAAGCCTGCCATCCATGGATTCTGTCAGTGTTTTGATCTGTTCACCATCAACATTGCGTGCAGCAGCAACCACAGCCTCCCAGACACTGTTCAGAGAGGTGTACTGTTTTCCCTCCTTGTAAATCTCACATTTGATGATGACCACAGGTTCTCAATGGGGTTCAGATCAGGTGAACAAGGAGGCCATGTCATTAGATTTTTCTTCTTTTATACCCTTTCTTGCCAGCCACGCTGTGGAGTACTTGGACGCGTGTGATGGAGCATTGTCCTGCATGAAAATCATGTTTTTCTTGAAGGATGCAGACTTCTTCCTGTACCATTGCTTGAAGAAGGTGTCTTCCAGGAACTGGCAGTAGGACTGGGAGTTGA